AAAATGATTGGAAATGATAACTCTGTTCTGTCATAGTTTATTAGTGATGACTAAAAGATGAGCAAAAGGAAGTGAAACACATGTCTAAAAAACAAAAATGACATGATCTATGTTTTTGGAACATTATGGATGTATCCCTGCTTAGGAAATTCTGTATTAATAAAGAAACACTCTGGCTGCTGGTCAGTCAGGCTGCAAGATTCTCCTGACCACCATGGCCTGTCTCACTTCCTTCCCCCGCCGACTCCTTACATCCTCTGCAGGACCCATCCACCACCGGGGATGGCTCCCAGCACTTGCTTAGGAATAGGAAGTCATTACTAAAACCATAGAATGATTTGTTACTCAGTAATATCCATGTGAGAATAACTTGAACATGAAGTAGTTGGGAACACACCATTTTTTTTGTCGATAATAAGTTCTCACACCACTGAGGTTGTACTATGTCTACCAGTATAACCAGACAGATAGGGCTATCCAACAGAATTCTAACCTGTCATATTGGAGAAATAATTTATAGTTAAAACTTCAGTCAGAGCGAGTATGATATTATATGTACTAAAAGAAAGAGGAAAACTCTCCCTGAGTAAGCCCTTAGAGCTATAAGTTCATCCAATGTTTCTCCCTTTCCAAACCTTATTCCAATGCTCTGATATCCTTCTGTTCACATTCTCTTTCCATGCCAACAGCTGTCAAGAGGCAGGATGCAGAAGGAAATAATACTATCTTAGAAATATATTCATTGTGGCAGGAGGCACCATGGGAGATCAACATGAATCGCTGCTCATCAGGGGACAGGTGAGTTTCTAGTAAATGGTACATTAGCTTCTTCTCTAAGTCATTTTATGAATTTGATGTAGTTTGTCTCAGTTTTTACGGAAGAGAAAACATGACATCAGTGGAAACAGAGAGGAAGAAAGTCAGTGCAAAGGGCCTAGGTGGGGAAGTAAGGAAAGGAGATGAAGCTTGTGCCGACTCTGCTAAGTGGCTCTTGGAACTTCTTGACCACAACTGCAGAAGTGGCTCTTTGTAGAAAACTCTATACAAACATTTTCTTGCATTTGTTTTGCAACCTGGTCTATGTGTACTTACTTATTTTATTTTATCATACTAGTGGTTTTAGCTCGGTCATCTTGAGACAATCTGAAGACTTCCTTTTTGTCTACCACCCTTCATTGCTGCTAGTCTAGTGGTTTTCAAACTAGGTATGAAAACTCATAAAAGTCTAATTTTACTTACCAAATTATCAGAGCCATGCTGATGGTTCACACATTCCTTCTCTTTCCAGGTGTTCTGACTCTTGCAGATCCTCTCCTATTTTTTAATGTTGTTTCAAATTGCAGTATCTCTTTCTCCCTGAACTTTGTTACAGTTACAGTAAAGCTTTATCAGAAAGGCACACTATGTAATCTCCTAAACTTCTTGGCAAAACACATTCCAGTGTGAACATTCACAGGAAGGAAGATGAGACTCTTCAATAACACATTTGCAAATATATGTACAGATATTCACTGTCCACTCCATTCCAAGTAAGTTGTCGTGCTACTCTGAATGGATGAATTATATTATATAACGTTTTAAAATTCTTTTTTTTTGAATGGAGGAAGTTTTGAAAATAGTGTTTCATTAAATCTTGATCTTAAAAATAATGGTGACTACCTTTAATCCCAGCACTCAAGAGGCAGAGGCAGAGGCAGAGGCAGAGGCAGAGGCAGAGGCAGAGGCAGAGGCAGAGGCAGAGGCAGAG